TTTTTGTTTTTGTTTTTTTGTGTGGGGGAAAGGGGGGTAAGGCTTTATCCGCCTTTGCCTCTGGTGGTGCAGTGTATTGCTTCTTTCCCTTTTCTTTTTTGTCGTTCTGTACAATTTATGATGATACGTGGCGGTGGTGTTGCATTATTCTTGTATGACTTGTGTGGTGGTGCGTCGTTTTCTTTAGCTTTTTCCCCATTTTTTGCTTCGCTCGTTGTGTTTTGATTTCATTATCATTATCTCCTTCCCTTCGTTCCTTCCTTCCTTCCATCTGTCCCGACTCCCTCTTCTCCCCATTGCAGCACCCTCCATCTTGGCTGGCTCGTAGTTTCTCTCACGGGTGTTCACGAGATATATAGTATACATACATACATACATACATACATACATAAGCGGACACGCATACACAGAAAGAAATAAAAGAATAGAAAAAAAAGGGCTGCGTGGTGCGAAGAGCATCAACAGAGTGTGGATAATGTCAGACGTGGATCAGTTGATAGATGAACTGTTTCCAAAAGGGAGTAGCGGTCTCGATCCCGCTACGCACGAGCACAAGGTCGTGAATGAGGCACCCGCGTCTCAGGCGGACTGGGATGCAAGCGATAGTGAGAAAGAGAGCAAGAGTGCAGGTGCAAGAATGTGGCCGGCGAAGATGACAGCTAGAGTAAGTGGGGTAGCTGAAAAGGAGCGAGAAACGTCTCGAAGTTACTTCGATGACAGTGATGAAAGTGATTTTGGAGAAGGTGCGGTTGTAGCATCCACATTCACAGTTCCGTTTCCTTTTTTGCCGAGCAACATTAGTGGGGCATGCAAGGGCAAATGCTTCGTGACGAACGTCGGTGCTGAAAACCTTCATCATCCTAGCATTGCCCAGCTACTACTAGTTGCAGAAGGCAGGTACAACAATCGATTAACCAAGAAGGAGTTGCTAAAGCGCAAGGGGGCCTTTCATGTGCTCAATCCTAATGTTGGTAATGGAGCCTCTGACAAATACGCTGAAGAAGCCGGTCACGGTGGTGGGTGCCCGTTGATAGTCTGCCGGAAGTGTAACTATGCTGTGATACGTCTCCAGGGAGCAGCTTGGCAAGACGGAGGCGGATCCACAGACTTGTACTTGACGGTGCGCAACTTCTACCCGGATTGGAGCCGATTGGCGAGCTCGTACCCTGTTGGCCAGATAAAGAGTGGGGAGCAAAACAGGGTGCTGAAAGCGAACCCTGGTAGTGCTGCTTATTGCTGTCAGTGTTCTTGGCTTACTGTGAAATCTCCACAGGAAGCCATAGAGACACGGCTTACAGACCCTGCAGGGTTCGTGGGGCGAGAGGAGACTTGTTGCTTTGCCACGCAGCTACCACTGGTGCCGGGTGAAAAGCGGCGGCCGCCTCTGTGGGTGTGTCGAGGGCACGTGGTGCAATTCTGAAGAATTATATATCACCTCCTTTTGTGTCTTTCCTTTTCAATGAATTGCATCATGGAATCGCTGGTGTGTGAAGAGATGGGCTGTGTCTGCCGAGTTTGACTCTAATGCATAGATGTCTTTCTCCCTCCCCACGTTTCTCCGTACTCATTCTCTTTGTAAATCTTTGTCTCTTTTTCTTCCTCTATTTACTTTTTTTTTTTT